TCAGCAGGGGGCTCCACAACATAAACTGAAGAGAGTCCAAAGAAAGACCTGGAAAATAATTAAGAGGCATATTTTATGATGAGAGGTATAAGGAGTTTTATGATTGACTTAAGACAGTGATGTTAAGAAAGAAAGGATAGAGAATAACTGCCTAAAACAGGGGCAGGCAATTATTTCAGATGGAGGGCCGCTTAGTGCATTTTGGCAAGCTGTCAAGGGCCGCATGGGTAGCCCTGCTCCTTGACAGGTGCCGCGCCCCCTGGTTGCCATCTTGGGACCAGAAGTCCTACCCCTAACCTCTGACCCTTGCCACCAGAAGTCCCTCCCCTTGCCCCTGGAAGTACTCCTTCAGGGAAGAGGGTTTGCTATCTTAGAACCGGAAAAAAAACAAACAAATTATGTACTAAAAATCAAATACCCATATTATTATATTTTAATTCAATTAAAAATATATTTTTTTCCTGATATATGTGCATTTCTGCTTTATATGTAGAAATGATTGCATAATAGCTCAAAATGCAATCTTACTCTTGTATAGTGTGTGGGGTGTGCAGGGGTATGGGTGGGTGGGTGGATGTGGGGTTTGTGGGAAGCTGCGGATGTGTGTGCATGTGTGTGTATAGTATTTGTGGGATGTGTGATTGTGTGTGCAGGAGGGTGTGGCTGTGGGGTTTGCAGGAAGGGTTTGAGGGTATGCAAGGTGTGCATGGGAGTGCCCTGCACACTCCCCACTGAGCTGGTCAGCACCCACCCCTGCTCCGCAATAGCCCAGAGCCCAAGGACAAGCTGCCAATGGGCCGCTGGACTTCTGGTGTGCGCGGGGGTGGGGGAGGAGCAGGCCTTCTCCCTACAACGTGGTCTTGTGCCCTGGAGCTGGCCATGGGGAGAGCCAGCTGGGCTCTTGCTGTCCGAAGCCTGGTGGCTGCGTTTGCACTCTGGCGGCCCCTGCCACCACCAGGAGGCCGAGGGCCACTGGGGAAGGGCCTATCAGGCCCGGGGGGCAGTGCAGGGGGCTCTCAGAGCCACTGGGGCAGAACAAGCCAGCAGGCACATGGCCCGGGGTGAAGGGAGGCAGCGTGGAACTTGCATCACGTGCCTGAGGCTTGGGGCAGCCTGGCTGCCCGCCCCCCTGCCCACAGGTGGCCCAGGGGGGTGACACCACTCTGGGGGGAAGGCCTGGCCCCCTCACACCCCACAGGGGCCCTGTGGCCTGGCAGCAGCTCGCCCCCCAGCCCTGGGATCAGCAAGGAGGCTGCACCAAGAGTTGGAGTGGAGCTGTGGCCACTTTTCTGCTTTGGAAGCTCCTGCAGCTTCCAGGAGGCCAGGGGCCCTAGGAAAGCTCTTGACCAGCCCCAGGGGCACACCTGGCCAGCCCCGGGGGTAGTGCGGGGAGCTGTCCAAGGCCACTGGGGGTGGCCCAACCCGGCAGGGACGTGGCCCGGGATGCAAGAATCCCGGGGATGCAGCGCAGAACTTGCATCCCACACCTAAGGCTTGGGATGGCAACAGCCTGGCTTCCCCCCAACATGGGCAGCCCTGGCATGTGCCACCACCTCAGGGGGAAGGCCCAGCTCACCTACCCTGCAGGGGCACGGTGGTAGCTTGCCTCCCAGCTCCAGGATGGGCAGGGAGGCTGCACCAGGAGCCAGAGTGGAGCTGCAGCCTCTTTTTTGGTCTGGAAGCTCCTGCAGCGTCCCCAGGCTTCCTCCACCTTGGGCCAGGACCCTGCCAGGTCATGCCACTCTCAGGGGCCTCGGGAGGCAACCCGTGTTGCCCCTGGGGCCAGCCAGGAGCTTTCGGAGCAGAAAAATGGCTGCAGCTCCGCTCCTGGTGCAGCCTCCCCGCCCATCCTGGGGCTGGGGAGTGAGCTGCCACCAGGCCCCCGCGGGCTGCCCCAAGCCTCAGGCACACGATTCAAGTTCCTTGCCACCTCCCTGCTCTTCCCATGCCCTGGGCCATGTCCCTGCTGGCACATGCAGTGGCCCCTGGTGCCCCGTGCACTGCTCCCAGGACTGGACAGGGGGGTTGGGAGCCAGCAGCAGCTGGGTGGTGCCCTGGGGCCAGTGCCAGCAGGCCACAGGGCAGGGTGGTAGGAGCCTGGGGTGCAGCTGGCTGGGTTCTGTGCACCCCTCACTCCCAGCCCCACCGCCCCAGCGCTGTGGTCAGGTGGGGACCAGCGAGCACAGCCCTGACCCCGCTTTTACCTGAGTTTCCTGCTCTGGCACAGGTGGAAACAGCCCCATGGTCCCAGGCCAGAAGCCCCTGCTAGACAGGGGACAGGGGCCTGCTGTGGCTTCCCCTGGGTCCTACTGCCCCTGGCTCCTGTCATCTTTGACAGGAGCCAGAGGCAAATAAATACTAATTAAAAAAAGTGTTTAGGAGCCCTGCAGGCCAGACAGAATGGCCTAGTGGGTTGGATGCGGCCCGCGGGCCGTATTTTGCTCACCCCTGTATTAGAAGAATTCTGACAGCTTGATATATCTGATAATGAAATAATCTGCCAAGATGCAGTCAACAGATTTAATGTTTAGGGAGTTATGGTACAAGACAGAAACTCCTGCATGGGGAGTGGTGGGGAGTGGAGGGGATGAGCTACCAAGTAGAAGACTCTGAAGCCATTCTTTCCAGGTCTAAAAGCTCTACGCCAGGAGTTCCCAAACTGTGATATATGTACCCCTGGGGGTACACAAGACATCTTTGGGGGGTATGTGGGAGAAATTGCGTAATGGCAGATTTAATTTTCATTATGAAAATAAGTGGTATTTAAGGGGTTAATGTATAAAACACATGCTGGTAGGGGTACCTGGGCAGCTGGTAAATCTGGAAGGGGTTATGCAATAAGAAAAAGTTTGGGAACCTCTGCTCTAAGCAATTCAGAACAGGGATAAGCAAGCATAAACCCCATGGAAAGTAATGGGTAGAGAACTTTTTCACATAAGGTTTGGATTTGACTAAATGACTTTGAGCACATAGCTATTATATAAATAAAATCTGTTTTACAACTTTCATGGTAGAATATTTATATCAAAGTTAATTCTAATGCTGCTCAGAAGCATCACATTCCATTCTAAATACCATTCCTAAACTGGAATAAGCTAAAACAATGGATATAGTTTTGTTAAAACCTCCACCTCTGCAAATGGCAGAGAACAGAGATTAATGCTAGTAATCTTTCTTGTTGTCACACTGGTGATTAGAAAACCTATGCATCAGGCTCTTGTTGTGGCTCCTGTTTCATGAGTGCACCTGTGGCTGCAAGGAGCCCAGGGGCCCCAGGGAAGCTCCTGTCTGGCCCTGGAGGCAGCACGGGTTGCCTCCCAAAGCCGCTGAGGGTGGCATGACTTGGCAGGGTCCTGGCCCAGGGTGCAGGTTTACCACAGCGCCTATCAGGGTAACTAGAAATAATGGCCACAAACTGGAAGAGAGCAAATTCAGATTGGACATCATGAAAAAATTCTTTACAGTGAGGGTTGCCAAAATATGGAATATGCTTCCAAGGGAGGTGGTGCTGTCCCCTTCCTTGGAGGTGTTTAAAAGAAGATTGAACAGACACCTGGCTAGGATCATCTGACCCCAGCACTCATTTCTGCCCAGGGCATGGAGTTGGACTCAATGATTTAATAGGTCCCTTCCAACCCTAACATCTATGAAACTATGAAACAGCAAGGTGAAATAAAAATAAATAAATAAAACAAACCCTTCAACTCATTCCTCACCAACTCAGGAAGAGGCAAAAGAAGGCGAGGCAAAATCAGAGTAATATTGCTTTTATCATCAGATGTGAAAGCTTCATTTTCCACTAGTGTCTCTTCACTGTGGAAGCAGCACATCCAATCTGAAAGCACTATCTATGGAGACAACAGAACTAGCTGAACATTATTAAAAATTCAGACTAGGTCAGGAAATCAGTAATAAAGAATAAAGAGAGAGACACAGAAACCTAAAATGGGGAAAACAGGGACATGGCAGGGGCTGGCATTCTGACTCCAACTCTGGTATCTATTGGTTGCTCCAACTGTGCACAGGGTAAAACAGCCCTACACCTCTGCCCCTCACAGCTCCTACTATGTCCTCTGGAAGGCTTGGCCTTGGAGCATGAGGAGCTGCACCGAAGCAATCTGGAGTGCAGTATGTTCTGGGCTACAGATTTATATGCAGCTTAGCCACCTTTGATCCCCTCTGCCTGAGCTCTGACTGCTTGTGCCATGCCTTCTGAGAGACATGGCAGAGGCTCTTTTCCCGTCAACAACATGAACTGTTGAAAAATGTAAATGATATTGTAGCAGAAAGCCCCCTTTTCCTCTTGCCTGCATTTGCTCTCCCCTCTCTGGATATGTTTCTCTTTTTCTACCTTTTCTTCCTTCCTCTCTCTTTCACTTTAAGACAAGGAATTGTGTTTTAAAATTTGTATGTGTGCATTTTGTTTCTCCCCTTGTAGTTTGGTATTTTTATCTATTTGTGTGCCATGGCATTTGTAGCTTATATTTTATACTCCTCACCTTTCAACTTTCAACTAAATGCATTTAGTTTCATAAGTAAGTTATACATTGTAACAATGTTAACAAGGGCAGGAATCAAACTGTCCTTCCCTGTATCAGGCTGGCCTCTGAAAGAGGGAGTGAATCAGTGATTGAATGTGTAACGTGATTGAATGTGTAACATGGAAGCAGGCAGCAATTAACACCTGGGAAGCTGCAGATCAACCAAGGGAAGAACTCAGTAGAAGACAATGTAACAACCGGGAAATCTCTAAACCTCACTGATCAAGGGCTAGAAGCCCTGGCCTGAGTTAATCAACGCCAGGGACCAACTTTTGGGCTGAGTATCTCCAGATCAACTGCTCCCAGAGCCCTATTCAAAATTCATCAACGGACTCCCAAACCTGCACATACATGCAGACGACCCCTGGGGCTGACAGATGCCATCCAGTAGCCACCGAGGGGGGGAAGTCCCACGAGAGTCAATGACCCCTGGATTGGGCAAACCTGTGTCTGTAGCTGTGGAGCACTGGGCAGCCCATTATATTGTTGGCTACAAATGTCCAACTC